CGAAGCACGGCTCATTTCTGGGCCGCTCGCCGGGCTTCTGCTGACCTCGGGCAGGTAGACGCGACTCAGCAGGTTGTACCACTTGGTGCACTTCTCCTCCGAACAGCTGACGTCAGCGAGGCTGATCTGAGCTCCCGCCTGCAGCGAGGAAGAGGAGGAGGGGAGTCAGAGAGAGCGTGTATTAAACTGTGTGTGATAAGAACCTCGTTAACAGCTGATTAATTAACAGCCGATGACCTTTAACAAACAAACCGTGAGATCCTCGATGATTAGTGAACATTTTTTTTTACAGTGACGTACGAACTGAAACTAACCAGACACTCTTCGTGGCCCGACTTGCCGGTGTCGCACACGTCCACCCTCAGGGTCTTCTGCCGCAGTGCACTGTGGGATATCTGCATGCCAAACACCTCGTTGAACTCCACGGCGTCTCGAGGTGGCGAGCTGCGTGTTCGGAAGAGGCAGCGAGTGGCCTCCACGCAGGGAAGCACCGCCACGCGTACATACCTGCAGGAGGAAAGGGCAAAGGTCACGCGATGATGTCGCGATGTAAATTACAGACTGTACACTAAAGATGGACGTAGCCTCCATGGCATCAACCTCTGGTTTATTTATTTTTTTACTTTGGAGAAAAAGTTTTACTTTTTTATGAACTTTATTACTTTGAAACGTCACCTGAAGGCGGAGCGGCTGTTTTCTGTGATTATACTTACACATATTTTAGTTTTCTAACGTTCATTATGATCTCAGTAAATAATCATTTTAGTTTTCGATCAGATTCCATAAATCTGCCCCGTAGAAAAGAAAAAAACGACCGTATTGAGTTTTTCTGTTGAGCGCCTCAAACACACGGCAGCGTGGCAGAGGCCATTAAACCTGCTGAGATACGTTCGAGGGACAGGAAACACTCAGACTGTGACTTCGTACATTTTCTGGTCGGTCGGCAGACAGAGGGCGCTGCAGTTGGACAGCTGCATGACGTAGACGGTGAAGCGGCGGTCTCTGGCCTCGTAACGGAAGCCGAGCTGCACCTGAGGGCAGCCGGGCGCCAGGCGGTCCTCGTAGGAGCTCAGCAGGAGGTCAGCGGGGAGGCCAGGTCTGCGGGAAACAGCACGCGGAGTTATTTTAACCTCTTTAAACTCATTTAATAACAAACTGTAACTTTCTGAAACAAAGAGCCAGACCAGGAAAAATAAAAGTGTAACAACACGAGGACAAACCTACGACCTCGAATGTAAAACCTTCGTACTTGCGCTCTGACGGCTCGTACACGCCGCTGTCGCCGGCGACCGACTCGTCAGACACGGCCGAGGTCACCCCAATCTTCTTTGGCCCCGCCCCCGTCCCTCGCAGCTCGGAAGCTGAACCTAAAAAAACAAAAGAAGAGAAATAAATAAATAAAATAATTTGATGTGTAACTGTAATCTCCATCAGCTTTGCATGAGTCACAGTTCAAAATCATCCTTCAATAAAGCGTTGAAAGCCGAAACAGCGACCACGTGACTCCCGCTCGTGTTGTTTATGTGCAAGTACAAAACCAAAACGTTCAAACTGTAGAGAAAAATGATGAAACCTGAACATGAGTCTATCTGATCCCTGAGCTGAGGTCAATGAAGTGAACCAATCAAACCTGGTCTGGAGCTGCACAGCACTGCAAACATTAAAACTAATATAATCAATAATCTGTGGACCTGAGAAAGACTTCAGGCTCGAGTGGCTTTGACCTGATAAGAGCAGGAAACCAGACACCAGGTGCAGCTTTCACCTGAGCCCGACTCTCACTGCCGCTCTGCGAGCTCCCATTAACCACACAAAC